CATGGATTATAATGACTTTACTAGAATAATCATTTTATAGGAGAAGACTGGCTTTTTAAAAGGGAACTTACTAAGAAAATCACTCTAAAGGTAAAACTAACTCTGATTGGAAGTATTGTGTATTGAGCATTGAGTGCCCTCTTAATAGCAGTGGACTATACATTTAATCCCAATAGTTAAGACTTCTCTTGTTCCTTTTATGCAATTGACTGGCTTTGAGAAATATTGTGTCCTTTAACTTTTAAACATTCGTTTTGTTCTTAAATATAGAAAGCGAAGAAAAGGAGACAATAGAACTAGTGAAGAGGTAAGAAAGTAATATGGCTCAGCGTGTTACGAAGGTTAATAATGATTCACCCCTGAAATGTGCATTTATCATTAGCTCAGTAGAAGGCTGAAAAAGCCACGGAGCCCAAAAGATGAATTGGAGCTGCACAAAAATGAACCAGCCACAGATGATGGTTCTCAAGAAGCCAATGTTCAATTAATGACCAAACTAAGCAATGAGAGAGGTTAACTTGTTCCAAAAGGAAGTTGAGTAACATGATGCTTTTCCATAGCCTAAAGGAGCTAATAGCCAAACAAATTCTATCCCATTACCTTTTTTTCCCCTAACTTTTAACATTTATTACGTTTTATGCATTTAGAAACTGAAGCGGTTTATATGAAAGTGCTATTTGACCTTTTGTGAAAAAAACAAATTTTCACAAATCACAACACCCTGGGAAAATGTGCCTTTCATTGGGACTGAAAGCCTAGCATTGTTTATATATTGAAAATGAGGGATCCCTGGGTGGCGCAGCGGTTTGGCACCTGCCTTTGGTCCAGGGCACGATCCTGGAGACCCGGGATCGAATCCCACGTCGGGCTCCCGGTGCATGGAGCCCGCTTCTCCCTCTGCCTGTGTCTCTGCCTCTCTCTCTCTCTGTGACTATCATAAAATAAATTTTAAAAATTTAAAAAAAAAAGAAAATGAGTGTGTTTCATTGAATTTCATGGTATATTTGTTTTAATTTTAGAAGGAGTAATAGACATTAAGGAATCTTTGGCAGAAGACCTTTGTTTTAAAATGTTCCAAGGTCCGAGGCTCAGTTTTCTTGCCTTGTACAATTTGTTTCTCTGTCAAGTGTTGACAAGTTCACAAGACTAAATAGCCAATTCTTATTCCTTTCTGGAACCTCCTTATCTTTCTTGGGAAATAGGGAGCTTTTTGAAATCTCCAAGTTTCTTCTGAGACTGGAGATGAAAGAATCAAGAAAGAAAAAACTCTGGCTCATCTTGGTTTTCATTTGTTCCATACACTCGATCAGAACATTTTAAATTCTCCATTTTCCATAAGAATCGATCAACACCTGACCCATTTCCTAGTCATCTCTTAGGTGAATATGTGAACGTAGAACTTGAGCTGAGGTTGACAAGTGAGAATGGTGTAAGCCACACATTCATGTCACATGTGACAAAGATGTCACTTTCTCTCTAACAGTCTCTCCCACAAGGACACCATGGCCAAGCCACTGGTCCCTCTCTAATTCCCAATTACATAACATGAATAGTATTTCATATGGGTCTTGCCAGGACAGTGTATACTTATGGCCTTTCTTTGCATGCCTGATTAAGATTTTCTATGAAATAAAAAAAAAAAAAGATTTTCTATAAAATCTTAATCTTTCTCCCTGTTTGTTTTGTGGCCCAAGCGAAAGGGAAAATCAAAACCAAGCTGGGAGCCAAACAAACACCTAAAACAAGTCTTTTTCAAACTGATGTGTTTGTAAACAGCAAGCAAATTAAAACTTTTCTAAGGTTCTTTTAGATGCACATTCATTAAAACTGGGAGTTTACTTTAGGTACTTGAAATGTTTAGCTAATTGGCTATTCTGCTAGAACAGTAACCACTCATGCACTTTCAAAAAGGTGTCAGAAAACACTGTGGTGCTCTTAGTGTTGGTTTGGACATTCATGATTCGGGCTCCTCATGAGCAGGAGCACCTTTCCTGCTCTATTGATGCGTTCTCTTTCATAGGTAAACTACACTGTGGTGTCTGCCTGCCGTAGTAGGATGAAGCCACTGCATTCTGAGCACCAGTTCCTCAATAGTACTTTAAAAAATGCTTGAAAGAGAGTAGGAGCCCCAACATTAACACAGTTATGAATTTAATGAATTTCTATATAAACCAGGGCAATTCATGCTCCCACTCTCCACCCTAAATATCAACCACCACACAGAGAAAAGGCCAGAAATGCTAACATTTTCCCTTTTAGGTTTGGATTGGAGCTTATTCTATCACCAGAATTTTTTTGTAACAGATTGCTCTTTATTACCGGTTTTCTTTTTTTTTTTAAGATTTTATTTATTTATTGAGAGAGAGAGAGCATGTGTATGAGTGGATTGGAGCTTATTCTATCACCAGAATTTTTTTGTAACAGATTTCTCTTTATTACCGGTTTTCTTTTTTTTTTTTTTTAAGATTTTATTTATTTATTGATAGAGAGAGCGCATGTGTATGAGAGGGAGAGGAAGAAAGAGAATCTTAAGCAGGCCAGTGCAGAGCCCAATGTGGAGCTCAATTTCACAACCCTGAGATCATGACCTGAGCCAAAATCAAGAGTCGGACGGACACTTAAACGACTAAGCCACCCAGGCCGCCCCTATTACTGGTTTTCTATAAGTATTTGAATATACTTTCAATCATTCAAAAAAAAAACTTATTTTTAGCAAATACAACAATGGTAAGGAGTCACTTTTAAATCACTATGACATCAGAGCACAAAATACATACTTACTAATTAACCTTACCTTCATGTTTATAGTACGCCTCTAGGCAAGTCTGAAATGTTTTGTTTATAATTATGACATTTCCCCTCCTGTCAAGAGTCTATTATCTTTGCTGGAACTTTATTTTTGTCTCCATTAGGTAAAAAGCAGAGAAATTTGGCCCATAATACAAAATACTTCAAGAAATGGAACCAACCTTTTAAAAAGTATATACCCACCATCATCAGTAGCACTTACAACAACACAATGGCAAGGTTTGGGTAGCATGTCTTTGGCTGTTTCCAGAGATCCAGTGTGAAGTGGAGGCATTGAGATCAATTATGTAGCTATTTTAGGTTTGGTTGCCTGGCTTGAATGATTGGGATAATTCTCCCAATTATTCTCTACACTTTGTAGGTGCAGATCCAGGTTTAAATTGTGATTGAGTGCAGAACATTCAGTGGGAAGACAGGAAACTCAGATTCTGTGTTTAAGTGGCCCAAGGATTAAGCCTATAATGTTCAACAAGTTACATCCACTGCGTGTTTCAGTTTATCTTACAAATAGGGAAAGAAACAGAAACCCCATTTTATTAAAAACCAATCAAGACGATTGAACTTAAAAACGTTTTCTGCAGCCTTGAGAAAAAAAATAAGTTACATAAAAACAAAATAATGTGTGAGACCAGGTTTCCTAGAAAAAGGAGCCTGAAGCAAGAATTAAGTTCTGATGCTTTCTTTGGCAGGTGCAATCTCAGGGCAACAAAAGTGCAAGGAAAGAGAAGCAAGGCAGGGAAGGATAAAAAGCCATGCAAAGTGATACTTTACTATACTGGCCTTTGCTTCACAGTGGGCCTCAAAGACTCCACAGAGGGAGGCGAGAGGGGAAATTATCCGATTGGTTCCTACATATCTCCTTTTTGCCATTGGCAAAGAACACACCATCGGGAGTGAACATCCCGTATTTCTGAGTTGTACCATCCAATGCCTATGACACAGCCCATGGCCTGCAGGGCAGCATTCCATCAGAGTTGGGATGTCATGGAGATCCCAGAGAGGTGGGTGTGTGACAGGATGGCATCAGGCTGCAGTATGGAGTCAGCACTCAAGGAGTGAAAACCCCAGCATGGAGGGAGCGGAGAGACAGCTGAGAGCCTGGAGGCAACGCTGGGAGAATCTGAGAACCCCTATGAGATGTGTCCAGTACAAATGCATTTAGCCAACTTCAATCCCTGCTGTAACTACAGGTTGTCGTACCCTAAGTCCCCAAGAACTACCAGAGCGCCAATCAATTTGCCAAAATATATTGTGTTGGCGAAAACGACGGCTATTGACATTTCTGACTTTGAACAGCAAAGTTACAATACTTTCTTAAGGGGTGCCTGGCTGGTTTAGTTGATTAAGCATCTGCCTTCAGCTAAGGTCATGATCCCAGAGTCCTGGAATCAAGTCCCACATCAGGCATTTTGCTTCCAGGGCACCCCATCCCCAGCTCCAGAACACATGCCCCAGGCCTGGCCAGTTAGAGTTGCGTGATTTCTTCAGGAGTGGTTCACAGCCAATGTGAGCCAATTTAGCGAACAGAAGTGTATTCTTTTTCCTTCTGGATTTGGAGTCAGGGAGATCAATTTGTAGGGTTGCTGGCAGCCATTTGTCCTCCCCAGGCAAAGCATGCCTGAATAATGGAGCTAGCTGGAAGGAAGACTGAGAAATGGAGTGACTAGATCTCAAGAGCATTGTTAAAGCCTCTGGATCCAGCTGAACTCTTAGGTGACGGAGACAATAAAGTCCCCTGGTTGCTTAAAGTAGTTTTGAGTTGAGTTTTCTGTTATTGCAGCTGAAAGAGTCTGAGCTGATGGAGGGAGACAGGCACGTAAGCAATCACAATGCAACATGACAAGGAAGTGTTGCTTCTTTGGATCTCTATCAGTAAAATGCCTGGGTCTGCATAGATAATCTTTACAGTCCACCCACCCTGACCTCATCCCAGACATTCCATGGTTCAGGGAAGTGTTCACTCCTAAAGGCCTCCCTTCGGTGTCTAGGGCTGCTACACAGGGCACAAGCGTGCCCCTGACCATCCATTTACTAGTAAAGCAGTGTACCTTTCTCTGCATCCTAGAAGATTCCATCAGATTATTAACACAGTAGGTCACAGCTTGTAAACGCAAGCCCATGGCCAATTAGTAGAAGAGGTGAGCCTGCCAATGGATAATCACCACACCACCACAGACACTTCCAAAACTTACCTCACAACATTCCTGAGTCTTTAGGTAAATCCTTAGACTTGAGGCTTAACAAAATGAATCACACATGTGTCTTCCTCTCTGATGTGATGTGCATCGGTCTGGGTGAAGCATCGTAGCTGTTCTCTACAAATACAAAAAGCATTTGAATACCTAAGATGATGGGTAAGATAGTAGGGGTAATAAGACCTAGAGAAAGTTGCTGGAGTTGTCATCACTCTGGCAGTGGATAACTTTCTGGGGTTCCTTTTCTATAGAGCCTACAATTAGGTTATTACAAATAAGCACAGAGTTAATCCAGAAAATGGCTTAGTCTCCTTCCCTCAACATGCAGATCCTTCAGCCAGAGATAATGGGTCTTCCTCCACACATCAAGTGTTATCTGGACAAAGGGGGGTTTCTGACCTCCTCCCTCTCCAGGCTAACTACACATTTCAGATGGCGTGGAAATAAAAACCCATCATCCATTACTGCTGCAGCTGCCACCACGGCTCTCAACAGAGGTGACTGTGTGTAAGGGACAGTCAGAACTGGGTAAGGGGCTACGGGATCAGGCTCACAGAAGTCCCCCAAAATGCTGAGGTGTTAGGAAACCAGAAATAAGGGAACAAACCAGACTGCTCTGCCCTAGGTGTGGGCGGCGAGAGTGTCTTTTTTATGATAGTCACCTGTAACCAGAAAAGAATAACCAGACTCTAAAAAGAAGTAAGCCATTAAAGATGTTATCACCAGTCCTTACTCAAATCAAGACATCACAAAACTGAGAAGGCCACAGGCTCCCTGATCAGTTCTAACTAAAAGACTGGGTCCTTGGAGGCCCATGTTGGCAACCCTGTCAGGACCCCTCTCATTCCTGAGAGCTTTTTCTGTATCCTTGCTTAATAAACTTCTATGGCTTTACTCATTCTCCTTTGTCCACAAGGTTCATTCTTTGACTCCATGAGACAAGAACCTCGCTCTCCTGCTTCAACAGGCTTCTGGCCATCCACATATTCCTGCCTGTCAGAGCATTCATCATTCTGGTCATTAGATAGTGACAGTATTAGCCAGATAACCACAATCAGAACAAAGAGAGAGCATCCTTTAATGCATTCCCAATACTGACCTGCCCAACGTGCTGGTCACCCCGAAGAAAAATCATGCAATTATTTGCACCACAGTCTGTGTGTGTGTGTGTGTGTGTGTGTGTGTGTGTGTGTGTGTGTGTGTGTTGGGGGATGACAGAGGCGGCACCTACTGGAAGCCAGGTGCTATTTTAGGTGCTCTGCATGCATTATCTTGTGTTGTTTTCACAATCAGCCTGCCACGTGAAAACTCTATTTTCTCTATTTTACAAAGAAACTGAGGCTCAGAGATATTAACTTGCCCAAGATTGCACAGCTAACAAGTAGTGGGACCTGACCTCAAACCTGGAGGCTTCATTCTTACCCATTATGCCCAGCTACCTCTCCTAGCTTTTGCTCTTTTCCCAGAGATGATGCGATTCAATCCCATAACACATCCAGGGTTTTTTGGCTTGAAAGAATTTCTGCCATGACCCCATTCCCAGCTCATGCTGTTCCCTAATCCCGAGAAAGAAAAGTCACCAGATAAGACAGTATACTTGTAACTAAAATAACAATATCATCCCCAGAGGGCTGCTGGGAATATACAAAAGTGCTGTGTGTGGTTAAGCAGATATTACAGAAATGGACTCGCTCTGATAGTGTATGCACTTGTGTATTTGGGTAGATCCAATACGTAAGATCCTCTCAAAAAAGATCTTGAGAGAACATTTATCCATCCAACAGATTTTTATTGCACATCTCCCATGTGACATTGGAAGAATACTAAATAGTTAGGTTAAGCTTTGCATTTCTGGGGCAGATGGAAGCAGGTGCAATGAGAGGAAAAAATAATGAACTCCATAAACGTGCCATCAGCCAAATCCTTTGACTGCAGTGTGGAAGGACTGGACATATAGGGAAAAGTTTTGAAGGAAGTAACATTTTAATTAATCCTTGAAGACTGAGAAGAATTTTGACAAGTGTAGAAGGGGAAGAAAAAAGTCCAGGGAACACCGAGGGTAAAGACAACGAAGTGTTAAGCTGAAGTCAGATTTTCACCAAAGGAAATAGTCCAATATGATTGGCAGGTGAGAGCCTACAATCCTAGGAGGGGCTGGACAGACAGAAGGGGCCCAACCATTTATAGAAATATGAGGTGTTGTCTGCCCACCACCTATAGTGGCTTTAGACAGTTGCTCCCAGTAGTGCTGTCATCACTGTGTCCAGGCACCCACAGTTGTGGGGCAGGCACATGGCCCAGGGCGAGCTAATCAGAGCCTGTATTAATGAGTGCTCCAGGGCTGGACACAAGATCCAAGCACGGTTAACCAGGGCTTCCCTGGATTCATGCAACGATACCAGAAGAAATAAGTGCCTCTTCTTCCTAGGATGAAAAGATATCAGTTTGGATGTGGGTAGCCATCTCGCAGGAAAGAGCAGAGCTTGCCTGTAGAGTGAAGCCAGGATGACGTGGGACCGGAAGCCAGGAGATGCTAGAGCTCAGAAGGCATTGTTTGGGCCCCCAGGTCCACCTCTGTCTGAAGCTCTAGATCCATCCTTGGACTTCTCAGTTGCACGAGTCATTAACTGATTTCCCTTGAGCCAGTGTGAGCTAAGAGTCCTGACTCGTACAGCGATGAGGGTTATGCTAAGGAGTTTAGACTTAAGAAGCAGGCTGGAAAGCCACTGGAAAGCCTCTCTTCCATGCTTAGAGAGCAGACTTCTACTGCAGATGGAAAGTCTGTGGGAAGACTAAACAACCTTTCAGGGGCAGAGGCAAAATCCACAGAACATTCTAATTCATTATGCAAATGAAAGAAGTTAAACCCATTCTACAACTGCTGCAGAATGACATATTTGGCCGTCGAAACCTACCCAAAGAGCCACACTAAATGATAACATGAGTTAGACCTACATGTGATTCCCAATATTGTCAGCAAAATCTGGATAGTAGAGGCCTCACCCCACAGGGTGACAATATCTCAAGAGGAGCAGGTGACTTGTAAGGTCAAGGAATAAGGCCTGAAACAGCATTACTGTAACAAATGTGAAGGGTCTGGTTACCTCCCTCTCTGAAACCTAAGATGTTTGAAGGAAAAGAGGTGCTGAAGCATCTGCAGTTGGCGGTGACACCTGAGAACATGGGTGACCACCCCCACCCCCACCCCCCCACCCCATACATGCAAAGGCAGGGACTGTGCCTTTTGCTACAAATAGCTTTGAACTTTTCTGCTCACCTCCAGCCCTCACTTCTGTCTTAGGGAGAAAAGAAAACCACTTTGCTCTTAGGCCCAGGGCTAGTGCATCAGGTTACTCGTCACTTTGGCAGGTCTCTCTCACAAGATGAATCCTTACCAAATAGGAGCCACTCAGGACTGGGAAAAACTTCAAGTGGGCACTTGATCCTCTAGTGCTTCTAGATAAGAGAACATATAAGCCCAGTGATGTGCCTCTTCTGAACTGGAAGGGTCTGTGGCTGGGGCAACTTCTTACCATACTGATTTAACATAGCAACAAGGGGACCGAGAAGGTGGCATTGCCTCTCCTCAACCTCTGCCCACACCAGCTCCTCCTCCCACCACAAAACAGAAAGCCTAGGAGAAGTGGGAGTTCAGCCAGTTGCAACTTACCATAGGAGTGCTTAGCAACATGAATCTGCAAAGGGGGCTGGGGTGGGGGTGGGGGGACAGGGAGATCCCAGGACCCGCCATGTCTGGAGCTTAGAGGACTCAGACCAGACTCTTGTAGCAATGGTCCCACTGTATGTGACTAAATCCCAGACTCATTTTTCACATTTCAACAACTCTGGAATAGGAATGCATCTGTAATCAATGGTGTGTCATACTTGAAAATTGTTAGCTTTTCCTTTCTTGGGGATTTTTGAAATAATGGTGCATTTTACAATTGATTTTTTTTTTTTTAGGTTCAACAAAGTACTATATTCAGGACCACTTGCTCGGTACATTAAACTAAAACTCCCTATCCATTCCCCAGAGACATCTTATACTCCAAAAGACTTATTGTAGCAGTGGGAGCAGGAGAAACAAAAACTGGAAGAGATCCCGGTGCCACAAGAGTGGTAAATGGCTTACCCCACTCAGTTTCCTCAGAAGTTGCAACTTACAGAAGAAGGTATGGCCTGTGAACCATTCACATTTGGAAAATGGCAGACTGCTCCATCCTATACGAAGTCACCAGCTACAATGGCATTTCTCATCTTGATGCCTGAGTTGAGGGCACATGGTGGCAGAGGTGGAAAAATGATGGAGATGTTAGTAATATGATGATGACAATGATGAGACCTAACATTTAGATAGAACTTTATAGTTCTCAGAACTCTTTCCTGAGCATTGCATGACCTCTGGCCCAGCTGGCATCATCCCCCTTTCTACATGTGAGGACACTGAAGCACAGGCAGTGGGTGCCTCACGCAAGGTGGCAGAGTTAGTCAGTGGTAGGGAAATGTCTAGACTCCTGAGAAATACAACCCTTCCTTATGACCCTTCAACTGTTCCACAAAGGACAAGGGAAAGGTTTAGCCCTAAGTAGACCTTTCTTCAATCCTTTCAAGCTCACAAAGTAGAATAACAAATGGGATAAGTCAATTTTTTTACTAACATTCCAGGGGGAAAAAATGTTAGTAAATAGAGGTCAAAGGGCAAATTCATGTTTAAATGTCCTTGTTTAAAATGGTGTATACATTAATACTGATATTTGAAATTTTAGTATGAGAAATGTTAGCATGACTATCTAGTAAATAATGTGTGCCTCAGAGCCCTATTTGTTAAAGTGGTACAAATTTAGAAAATAATAAGAGGAATCCCTGGGTGGCGCAGCAGTTTGGCGCCTGCCTTTGGCCCAGGGCGCGATCCTGGAGACCCGGGATCGAATCCCACGTCGGGCTCCCGGTGCATGGAGCCTGCTTCTCCCTCTGCCTGTGTCTCTGCCTCTCTCTCTCTCTCTGTGTGACTATCATAAATAAATAAATAAATTTTAAAAAATTTAAAAAAAAGAAAATAATAAGAGTTTCAAAATGTTGAAAGTAGTTACACAATTAGCCCACTGTTCATGAGTGCCTTCAGCAAGCAATACACACACACACACACACACACACACACACACAGAACCTATGATGGAATTTTTCCCTCATGGGAGCAGACAATGCAATCACCATGTGATTAAGGGGACAAGATAAACATAGAAAACATATAACAATACAAAATAATAAGGGACTAGCCCACATAGGGAGAAGGGGACTAGACTGGGATTGTCGAGGCAGGTTACTTGGAGAAAGAGGGATGGGAGATAGGCCTGAGAGCCCGGTTAGGACTTAGCTGAACTGGGAGGAGGGAGAGGCAGCATTCCAGCAAACAGGTGAAGACACAGACAAAATGTCACCCAGAGCTTGGTATGTGGCAGGGTGCTCAGTGAGGGTCACTGGGGGGGAAACAGAGATGAACAGCTGTTTCTCTAGAAGTTAGTCCAAGTGTGGCTGGAAGAAGGGGCTTCTAAATAGAGTCCTATGAGAGAGTTCCAAGGGCAGGTGATAAAGTTCCTTGAAAACAAGACTAAGACATTTGAATTTTAACCTGTAAATGATGGGGAGCCACGGAAAGGTTTTGAGCAGGAGAAGCAGTGGCAAGACTAGGCTTCACGCGGATAATCTGCAACATGTCAGTGAGGAAGCCCATAGAAAATTCCCATGTAAAATAGTGGGAGAGGATCACTGAGATAGAGACCCTAGCTAAGGTGCATCCCGTGAAGGATACAGCTGACCTCAACGGTGGCCCATCTGCTCAGTCCTCAAGGACAAAGTACAGAGTCCAGGCTGTCAATGGGCAGACAAAGCGGGAATGTCCAACAGCCGTTGCACTACGGGTCTTCCACTCAGGAGAAAGGCACAGACTATATTTATATAGAAATAGACTGGAGGAGGTAAAGTTTTCCACACTAATAACTGTCAACAGCCAGTTTCATGTATCCTTGGATAAATGCATCAACAGATGCCACATGGATGGATGATACACAGACAGACAGGGACCTGTGGCATTTGTGCTTCTGATTCTCTCTCCTCTGCTTCTCTACTCTTTGTCTCCTCCCTGTCCTCCAATCTAGCACCTGATGTCACCGAGATAAGTTCTGACACTGACTTTTTTGGATAATGGCCTTGTGCCATTCCGGCAACCGAGAATGCCTTGCTTCCGCTCTGCTAGAGTCCTGAAGATAGAAGCACCGGCTAAAACTGTGATTTACATCATTCATTCATTTATTCACTCCTCTCACAAATCTTTATTGAGTGCTTCCCATGGGCTGGCATGGTGCTTGGTGCTGGAGATATGGCTGTGGACAGAGCATTCTTCATTCATCCATTTATCAAATGTCTCTCGAACACATTCTAGTATAAAGCTCTGAGCAAAGAGCTGTGCTAGTCGTGGTTCCTGACTTCAAAGGATCACAGCCTCACAAGAAAGAAAATAAACCCCTACTGGCAGTATCAATATACATGAAGTCATCACCTTGCAGGGAGTCCGTTCACGACTCCAGTCTCAAATAAAGTGTTCCACTCCATGCACCCGGGGGGGGGGGGTGGGTAGCAAAGGTCTGGGGAGGAAATGCAACCTTTATAACTGTCCTGAGCATGTGGGATTAACAAGTGCTCTTGTAAAAGTAAGTGCCAGCTGCAAAGCTGCCTATTGGCCCATTGCCTCCTCAAAGGCATTTATGTTTATTTATTTATTTGTTTATTTATTTGCTAGATTTATCACATTTGCAGGCTGTGCCATTTGGCCTCGGGGTCAAATAAATCTCTTTTAAAACTTTAACATCTTTCTTAAGCATTGTGTACCCCTGTGTGCCCCTGACATACCTTTCTCAAGGCTTTATAAGAACAGAATTAAATCCATTTCACAAATAAATACACTGGGAATGATAGAGTTTAAATGCACCACAGAAAGCAAAAATAAATTCCAGGAAAAATTTGGAAGTAAGATGAAAGTGTCCCACATTTCTTTTAGAATCCTCAAAATTAAAAAAGAAAATATGGTAGGGGGTAGAATTATACTTCTCTTCTTCTTGGCACATGTCCCGATGGTAGAAGGTATTTGCTCCATGAGGATTTGTCACAAGGTGGAGGAAGCCGGCCAAGGCCCATAACAAAGTATGCAATGGAATGGAGTAGAAATCCATTCTTGAGAAAGCTGGCCATGTCATTTGAAAAATCAGCCGAAGCAGATTCATCTCCCAAGGCCTAAGGCTGCCTCTGGGAGACAGTTAAACACAAAAGAAAAGCTGACTCTTTGGGCCACCGATTCAGGTTATTATTCTACTAACATAACTAATATTGTGTTAAATCATCCCTTCATTCAGTCATCAAACATTTATCCAGCACTAGGTACTCAGCACAGAATTAGCCGCCACAGAATACAAAAAATAAGGCAGGGTCTCTGGTTTTTAGGAGTATTCGTGCAAATTAAACATCACAGAATAATAAATCCTGGAAAAGTTGCCATCACAGCCCAAGGAAGATACTCAATATTAGGAGGTGACTGTTTCATGCCACATACTCTCAGCCTACCATTTTCTCTCTTTTTTTTTTTTCTCCTGTCCTCCGGAAATGGCAAGATACATTCATTCTACTATAAACCAACTTGTTTTTTCTATTACCTTTTTCAAAGGCTCGTTTGGGATAAACGGGTTTATTTAGAAAGACACAGCAATATTTGTTATTGAAAACATGTAATTTTTTGTTCTCATGTTTACCTTAAGCCATGATTTTAATTTTGGATTAAACAACAGACTCGGGATCCCTGGGTGGCGCAGTGGTTTAGCGCCTGCCTTTGGCCCAGGGCGCGATCCTGGAGACCCTGGATCGAATCCCACGTTGGGCTCCCGGTGCATGGAGCCTGCTTCTCCCTCTGCCTATGTCTCTGCCTCTCTCTCTCTCTCTGACTATCATAAATAAATAAAAATTAAAAAAAAAGAAATACCCATTTAAAAAAAATAAAAATAAACAACAGACTCCCATCCCCAACTGCATTGGATAAGGGATCTTCTACTCTACAATTTTTACCCCAATAACTAATAAAGACCAGCAGCTGTGCCTTAAATACCCGTGATTCTCTACCATTCCCCCTGCCTCCTGCCAAAAAACAGAACTGATTAGTAGGGGTTCAATAAATATTTACTAGATTAGTTAAGTAGTTGCAAGATCATATCATCTTATAACCAACATCTCCTCCAAAATCTCTAATCAAAATATGGCAAGATTTCTATGCAATTGACATTGTGAAGCTAACTCTACTTCATCATTCATTTATATTGTACCTTCATTTTCTAAAAAGAGTTTTGACAAAATTTGTATGCTCTCGGGCAAGCCAGTTTGCCTCTCTGAACTGCAATTTCCTTATCCCCACCGACCTCACCAGCTGGTTTTGAGGTTTTAATTAGATGTTTCCAAAGATGACTTGTAAACTGTCAGGGATAGGATAGACTAGCAATCCAGGAAGGCTGATATATGTTTTAAACATAATAGAAATTTAAAGTTTCTATTCAACACTGCTGTCTTTCTATTTTTTTTTCAAAACAAAAGTTGTTATTATTGCAATTGTGCTGTCGGCTTAATAAATGTTAGCTACGATTCAGTTCCAGTTTGTGTTAACTAAGTCTGGCAAACTTGTCTGAAGACCTACCAACAAATTGTACGGTCATTTCCGTGGAACTATGCAATCTGTGGTCCAAACAACGGACTTAAAAATGAATTTTTAGAACATTGCCCATTTATAAGTAGGGGTTATGCAGTAAATAGAGTTAAATGGACAAATAGAAAAACTGATGAGAATAATTTCAAGAGCAGAATGACACTTTCTGCCAAAGTCAAAAACCACATATTCCATGGATGTATCAAATTCTAACAGTGATTTTAACAATTTAGCAGGTTTAAGAGCAAACTGAGACATTTTCTTTCTGATCCTGACAGAATCATTTTAACCAGAATGGCAAATTCCCCACTGGTGTCCGGGACAGGGCGAGGGGCTGGGGTGGGGGGAGGGTCACCAGAGCAGCCACCGATGAAAGATCCAATGTCAACCCCAAGACAGGACTATTTAGCTATGGAATGAGCTTTCTCCAAAACTATTTGAAATACTCTATCCAAGAAAAAACCTAGACAAGAATGATTGAATTCTGTAAAGCTCACAGAACTCCTAATTTAATGGAACAATCTTGCCTTGCCAAAATGAACAGTCCTGTCCCTGCCTGCCCCCTGTGACCTCCCAGCCTCATACCTCACCAGTCTGCCCCATAAATCCTTGGCGTCACCCCCTGGTAAATGCCCACTAATCCCTGGAGACACTATAGGCATGCAAGACCTGCTTTCAGGCATGCCATTCCTGACTCCTGCCTATGAGGTCTCTTGTGAATCTTTCGAGATCCAAATTCACCCTCTCTGTGAAGCCTTCCCCACATATTCCTCCAGAGACAACTGCTTCCTCCTTAGGCCTTTCACCATGTCGGAGCACTAACAGCTTGTGTGATGATTGTCTTCTGTCTGTCTGTCTACTCACTCTATGACCTGAAGAGCAGAAATCTCCTCAGGTACTCGTCTAAATGCCTTAACATGTATCAATCAACGTGACACCCACAATGGTCCTACAATGATGATAGCTACTTTCATTACTCCCACTTTATAGGGGAGGAAACTGAGGCTCGGAAGGGTTAGATGGCTTGCTCACAGTTACACCCCTATAAATGGCAGTGCTGAGATTTGAAAGGAAGAGCGCCGACTCCAAGGTGTATGCCCTAACTCCCTATGCTCTCCCCGCCCACAGTAATTTTGCAGAGCAGAAACATAAAATCTGGAAGCTGGCCTGAAACTTGATAAGAACTGCCTTTCCCCACAAGGAAGTCCATATCCAAGGGCAGCCCAGGACTTCCTCGGGGGCAGTCTATCTTCAGCGCTGCTCCAAACAGAAGGGGTAGGAAAATTCTCATTTTGTGGCTAATTGAATTAGTGCCTCCCTCTCAAACGTAATGAAATTCAAAGCCATTTTATGAGTCCTCTTGGGACTCTTTTTAAAAATTCTTCCTCTGCTGTATTAGATTAGACGCCCTGTGTAAAATAAGGTCATATTCTCCAGAATATTTCTTTGTGGCTCCCACGTACACCAGGGCACATGCTAATCACACTCTGTTTAGTCCTCCAGGATCCCTTCCAGACATCCCAGGAGGAGATCAGAGTGTCTTCTAAACACCACAACCAAACTGACCCTCATGCACCGCATGCTCTCAGAAATGCTATGCATTTCTAGATGTATCATTGAAACCATTAGCTAACACAACTCAAGGAGACAGAGGTGGCCCATTTTAAAAGAAATTACCTTTGTCCCTGACCAGTGCCACCACATGCATAGGAACAGTCTTTGAAAAACTTGGCTGTGCCGTAGGGAGTCTGGGTGGCTCAGTCACTTAAGCATCCAACTCTTGGTTTTGGCTCAGGTCATGATCTCAGGGTCGTGAGATCGAGCCCCACTTAGGGCTCTGCACTTAGCAGAACGTCTGCTTAGATTCTCTCCCTCTGTTTGTTCTCCTTCTCTCTCTCTCTCTCTCTCTTCAAATAAATAAATAAATCTTTAAGAATTTCTTAAAAAAAGAAAAACTGGGCTGTGCCCTAAAAGATCTTTTGAGGACTACATAGTATCCCCTTTTATTAAGCTTATGACTTGGATAGAAAGTCAAAGTTCCCTCCCATAAATTGGTCTACACATCCTGAACTGGAGAGAAACCAAAGAAGGGCATTTCATAATTGTGTATTGGTCTTCTCAAAACAACATTCCTCATGCTAACTACTATGGATGACGAGCTTATTCTCTGTGCCTGACCCTCCCTCCAGGGAGCGAATGCTGACTGCTGATTTTAAGTGTAGCGTAGTAAAACTGTGGGTTCTAGAACCAGACTGCATGGGTTTGAACCTCGTTCCCCTGCTACTACCCGTGTGACATTGTTCAAATTACTTAACTTCTCTGCTAGTTTTCTCTTCTGGAGAATGGGTTTAATAAAGGTGCCTAACTCATATGGTTGATGCAAAAGTTACATGTGTTAATATATGAAAAGTTCTTAAATCAATGCCTGGCATTTGCTAAACCCTATAGAAGGGTTTGTGGTTTGTCTTTCTCCCCAACGTTAGTTTCTCCTGTGTCCCAGTGAGCTGGTGAAAGGAAGAGCCCCAGCCGTGGCCATTCACTCTGATGAGTCCAGGCTGATGCTCTTCAACCTTTTCCACACGCTGAGCCCATGAATAAGCTTTCTATTTAGCCAAGTACATGCACAAATACATACGAAACCTAAGCAAATGTCTCATGAATCACTGCCTTTATAGCTGCAATATGCTCTGAGATTCTCTATTCACCACCGTTCTGTTTTGTTTCTTTTCTTTGTGGTTTCAGGATGGGCACAGTCCACTAAATTTATTTCATGATTTACCAGTAGGTAGCTGCATATGGTCTGGGGGGTAAAATATAGAACACTGATCTAAGATAACCATCATTCTTAAAATCTAACACCACCCTATGGGGTGAGTACTATCAGCAAGTCCATTTGATGGGATAAGGGAATTCAGGCACGGAGGGATTGAATGACTGACGCAAGGTCTCACAACTTTCCAGCAGTTCACACAGGAACCTATGCTGACTGTCCCTGCTTTAGAAGTGGGCACTGACCTACACTGGCCAACTGAAGTGAATATGGACGAAGTATGTGGACATTGGCATCTGTGCTATGGCATAAGTAGAGCGGATCTGGGGAGAGCTGCCGCTGTGGGTGGCAGGCTAGATGCTGAACGAGCCTGCCCCTTGATAGGAAGGTTCCACTCAAGGCACTCCACTCCAAAGTGCCTCTGTTCCAAGCTACGAAGTTCCCCATTTGGCCAGTTTGCCTTGGGTTTTCTGCCACTGGTGGGCAAAGTTATCTGCATATCCTAACTGATATGTTGCCTGGTTGTGCCACAATGTGAAGTAAGCAATATCATTACCATTTTGTAGAAAATGAAGATCAAAAACTTTACCAGGGAGTCTTAGCTAGTGAAAGATGGAACCAAGATTCAAACCAAGGTCTAACTTCAAGACTCTATCAAACAGCCCACAGTAGAGGGTATATTACATTATAAAGGACAAAATAGGGGGGAGGGGTCTTTGTCCAAAGAAGAGTCGTCATCACCTGCACCCCCACCACCCAAGCACACTGTCTGCACTCTGTCCAATGCTCTTACCTCCTTTTCACCTAATATTATGGCTATTTATGCTCATGTCTTAGTTTTGTGTTCTCCATGAGACTCTAAGCTCTTGGAGGACAGGGTGCATGTGACACAGCTTTATAGCTCTGTGCCTGCGTGTTGAAATCAAGCAAGGCATACACAAGGAATCTATTGTCCTTAAATCACTCTTTGTCCCAGTTAGAAGTAATAAGGAGTAGGAAGAAAATGCTACAACACTTAGTGGCAAGTTTTACACAAATTTCACCCAGCATGGCTCACTGTCAGATGTGTGCCGTGTGCTGGTGCTCGGTGCTGTTCCTTACAACAGTCTCTGTCAGAGGGCAAAAGGTGAAAGCAAGGTGGCACGGATCATTTTAAAAACAAATAAAATATTGGCACTGCAACTGATGCCCGGGGCCAGACCAGCGAAATCTGGTCCATGTGAGTTTTCAGGTCTGATTTAATCCTATCCTTAAAGCCAAACTCACATCCACTTTGAACTGTGGCCTGGCTCTGAGTTGGTTTTAAATCCTGGGATCCATGGCTTTGCCAATATTTTATGTGTTCCCTCGGAAACTCTTGGAGCACCACTGTGTTCAGGACGCAAACAGCTCTAACCATGGTCTTCATCACTTACAATCCTTTAGTGGCTTCTCTGTCTACCAAGATTTGGTGTAAACAGACAGTTGCCCCAGATGTGTCCTGCGCTGGTTTGCTTCCTGGTCGCTGTGTGGGTTATGTCCATGCCGGTGCCCCTGCTTACATGCTTTTGTGGCCACGATGTCTGTCATGATCACATCTTTTCTGGAAAGCCCAGTTCCAAGACCACCTCGCTCATGGAGTCTCTACTCATCCTAGATGTGCTCTCTCCCCATTCTGAACCCTCAAAGCATTTTGCTTATACCTGTCTTAGAGCAACTATGACAATTATCTGGGGACTGGCTTCTAGCAACCAATTATAATGTAATACTTATTGTTATTGCTAACATTTATTGCAGTTTGCAAACGTTAGGCATTGTCTTCAGTGCTCTAAATACATTAACTCCTTTAATCCTCGCTTTATCCTATGAAGGAAATGCAAATGGAGATAATAGCCAGCCTACTCCATCAGGTTGTTGAGAGGACTGAATAAGGAATACGTGAAAAACTCTTATAACCGAGCTCCTTGTGAGCCTGGCACCCAGTCAGTGCTCAATACATGTTTGTTACAACCGTGGTCAGCATCAGCATCATCCCCACTTATCAAACCCATTTTACAGCTGGAGAGACAGAGTCTTAAAGGAATTTGCATAACCGCTCCACTAGTGAAATCTGGAACTTGTGTACTGGTTAACCACTGCATTTTACTCTAAGTCCCTTTAAGGCTGACATTAAATGAATTCATCTTTTTTCCTGTTCGGGGGTTAGCACAGAATCTTACCCAGAGGCGGCCTATTAAGTATATGCTGAAATGAATTGATTACACCCCAAACCAGCAAGAATTTCACGATCTTAATAGGTGGTTTCCACTAGCAGCCGCTGAACAGCTTATTTTTCTGAATAAGGCAAAAATTCACACACCTGCTGTATGCCTTCCTGAATGTGGGCCGAATTGCTCTTCTCCGATCCTTGCCAATGAAGCACTTTCCTGCAGCTATTAAAAATACCCTGTTACAATGCGGGAATTAAACAAATCCATCTATTTCTACAATTTCGGTGTGAGCGGAGCATGATGCAAGTGGCCCAAGCGCCGAAGCCATCCCTCCCAGAGCCCCGCCGCATGAGGCAAAAGGACTTTAACCGCATTATCCACGCCCACGCTTCTCCCCTATCCCCTCATCTCGGACTTTCAGTCCAGGCTGCTCAGGTTTGTTTATGTTGCCATAAATTAAAGGACACGCTTTTTACAGGCCCTCCATCCGTTTCACTCAAGATGATAGAGTCAGGGAACGATGGTTTCCCGTAACCCTCTCAAATGTCCTGGTATGAAATTGCAGTAAGGAGCGTGCTTCCCAGCCAGGCCGTCTGATGCCTGGACGGGAGCGTGGCCACCTGCAAGTGACACGCCAGCGCCAGCAGGCCGCCCATTGGGCCAGAGCCGGAGGAGGATCGGTTTCAGCCACGCATGAGCCAAGGCCTCTCACCCCAGGCGATCCTGCGCCTCTCGGCTAACCATGAAAATCCTTCAGATGTGTCTCCTGATCTCTTACATGGCTCGATTTGACCACAATATCTCAATTCGTCTCACCGACATTTGGGAAGCCCCCTAGGCCTTCACCCAAAGCCCCAGAGAGTCCCCCTGTGCAGAGCGCCCCCCACCAAGATCCCAAGTCCACTAGGGCTGCTGAATCTGGAGTGTCCAGGGTCCCACCCATCCTGACATGGCCCCTACTGCACTGAAACCGGGTCAGAGCCAGGGCTCTCAGCCACACTAGGCAAATGGCAGACACTGAGCTGCCTGTCTGAGAGGAGAGGCCAAAGGTTAGCACTTGAGAATGAAAAAATTTTAAAAAAAAAGAGAGCCCCACCATTACTTACAGAGCCTTGTGTTTTGTTACACATGGGGATTACAATAGTAATAGGCCTAGGACACGCACACATTCACTCTCACCCACCTTACCATACCTCATTTCATTTGATATCCCAGCACTCTGGTGTCCCTGATAAATAAGAACACTGAGCCTCAAAAAGTTTTAGAATTAGGTGTCTAAGGTTGTTCAGCCAGTTAGTAGCAAAGTCAGGACTCAAACGACAGTGATATGTTTGGACCAGGACCTAGTTCATGTGTAAGGGGAAGAGGGTAGCCCTGACAGTAGTCCTCAACACTGGTCATGTGGGCCTCCCCAGAGATTTTAAAAATTACAGTCCTCTGGCCCACCACATGACAACCACAACCACAACAGAATGACCAGGGAAAGGGCTTAGATATGGATGTTATACTCATCAGTATTCTCCACAGAAACCAGTAGGATGTGTTTATACAAAGAGAGATTTATTTTAAGGAATTGTTACACACATGTGATTATGGAGGCCAACAAGTTCACTTATCTGCAGGGGGAGCCATCAGGTGGGAAACCCAGAAAGCCAGGGTTGCACTTGAAGTCCAAAGGTTGTCTGCTAGCAGAATTCCCTCTTACTGGAGAGAGTTCAGTCTTTTGTTTTATTCAGGCTACCACCCATCACCTGATTGGGTAAGGCCCACCCACATTATGGAGAACAGTCTGCTCTGATCAAAGTCCACCAACTTCAATGTCATACTCATCCAGAAACACCTTCACAGAAACATCCAGGATAATTAATATTCAACCAAATACCGAGGCAGAACCAATATGACACAGAAAATTAACTATCATGGGTCATTTTATAGCCTCACAGATGCTTCTTCTGTATAGCCAGGGTGAGGAGCCACTAATTTGCCATTCCACATACTCACAACCTCCTGCAACCTCTTCAAAACCAAAGACTGCCTAACCATTAACAAATTGCCCAGGACAGAGACACATGAGGTATTTGTCTAAACCAGGTACTATTTTTTTTTTCAGGGAAAGTAGCGTGGTATGCCACGCTTCTGTAGGTACAGTTGTAGGTGTAGCCAAGAGGTGCAGTCAGACATTTTCTAGAAGGTAAGTACAACAATCACATCTTGCACAGACCACTTGGCTTCAGGCTCCAAGTGGTTTCTGGTGAATGGCCAACATTTGTCCTATTTATTCTCTTCCCAAACCCCCTCAAAGCAGAATTCCCTACCTTACAGGAAAGGCTGAATCTTCAAAACTTGGGAAAACCCAGAATGAAATGGTTCATTTGCACCTGACCTAGGGCTCGACGGGAGATATCAGAGGCTTGTGTTAAAAGGCAGTAAGTCTCACCAAGATGGCAGGGAAATTTGTAGCCAGAGCTGGGCAAGGCATTTTCTATATTTCTAGTGAATTCAGAAAAGCTGATAGTACTGGTTGACCATATATTTGCAAAACTTAAAAGCTTGCCCCCCCCCCCACTTGTTGGCTGAAAGATTTGAAACCATGAAGCATGATGAAGTTGAAGCATCAAGAGGCAGTGTACCTGTCTAGTCTGACTTAGGTTTAAATATCAAAACTTCGGTATTTTTATGGCATGTTGTTTTGAAAATATTGAGATGCATTTTATGTGTTTAATTAACAAAGTCAGCAGTAGGTGAGTACTTACCTGCATAGTTCAGACCAGAAAAATCATTTGCTGGAGGTTGGGACTACAGGGTCAGGACCCTTGGGGAATACAGGAGTGTCTCCTGGGAACCTGGGCCTGCATTCTAGGTGCCATAGCCCTCTTGGCTGGTCCCCAGGAATTTGAGGGCTGCCACTAAGTCCAGGCCCTGGGATAACTGCTAAGTGGGCAAAGGCGGTCTTTGACTTGTCCCCTCCCTGCAGATTTTTTCTTTCCATTCCTCCTTCTGACTCAGTCTTCTTTTTGTTCACTTCAGCTTTTAACAAAGATGATCTTCGTTGAAATCTCGAGATCCTCCTCTTAGCTACAGGTTGACCAGTTGCCTCTGCCAATAATGGTGGTTTTCCTGCTGTGGGTCTGAGCTTTGGTTCTCTGCTGGCTAACGTAGGTCGGCTTTAACTGGGATAACTTGGCTTTCTTCACTTACCTTATTTCCCAGCAGGTAGCCCCAACATGTTCTCAAGGCAGTAGCAACAGTACAAGAGCACAAATGGGAATAAGCAAAAGCAGGTACCTTATCAAGCCCTTGTTTGTATCATGTGTGCTAATATCCAATTATCTCAAATAAGTCATACGGCTGGGCCCTTTATAGGGCATTGTAAGTTTACAGGACAAGGACAGCTAATGCAATCAACCTACCATAGCACTGGTTCCAGTTTGGAAGCAGGGCATCAAAGGTCACCTGGGAAAGCCCCTGTGATTTGTTCTGGTCCATTCAGAAGTCCATCTTGTTCAAACATAACCTATCCACCCATCTATTCAAACTTTTATGGGGATTGACTCTAGGCCAAGAGCTTTACAGGACACAGAAATAAGAAAGAATGGGATCCTACCAAAAGGAGCTTAGGATAAAATAGGCATGAACCTAAAATATGCCAGCATAATGGGGACCTTGAGAAAGGCCAAAAAAGAACCAATAAATGGTTACAGGGTCAAGATTATCAAATATCATGGTCTGCAGGGGTATATAAGACCACAGTGAATTTTTTAGAAATCGAAGGTGAAATGAGGCAAAAAAAAAAAAAAAAAAAAAGGGCAACACAACATATTTACAAGTAAGGTTAAATTTGTTGTATTTCAAAAAGCATTGTTTATTCTGGAGATATGTCCTTTCTATCTTTGAAATCAAAATGTTAACTTTTATAAAATTAAAAGAAAATAGTTTTTGGGCATCTGGTTGGCTCAGTGGTTGAGCATCTGCCTTTGGCTCCAGTCATGATCCCAGGGTCCTGGGATTGAGTCCCACATCAGGCTCCCTGCCCTGCAGGGAGTCTGCCTCTCCCTCTGCCTATGTCTCTGCCTCTCTCTCTGTGTCTCTCATGAATAAATAAATAAAATATTTTTTTAAAAAAAGGAAAAAATAGTTTTGTTTATACATTTTTAAACTTCCTTACTTAGTAAACTAAAAGTTGCCAATCCAAAATCCGCCTTTCCCAAATCCTCACATTGTTTCCATTTTTGTTTTTATTTTGCTTTCACCCCAGTGATCCCAGCACAGCTGGAGAGGAAAGAAAGCACTTTCAGTTGTGTCACTCCATGGAGAAGGAGTCATCTGAGATGGGCTCAAAGGATGGGCTGGAGTCCAACAGATGGCAATGACTGTGAGGTGGGTAGAACCTGGTGAGGGTACAAGGAGAGAAGGAAGACTGGGGCATTGTATCCCTAGCCTAGAGTAAGGTTCATCTGAGCACCCCTAAGCAGTCTGGGATTGCTGGCAGACCAGGCTCCTGAAGGACAAGAGGCATCACCTTGAAGCCCACCCTTCCATTCTTCCATAGGCCTGGTCTGTGTCTAGCTGCAGTTGGCTCCTGGATACTCTTTTCCCAGCCACACATTTTGAAGGATTTTTTTTCCTTTGCCTGATGGTTATGGGACAATTCTCCTCTACTCCTCTTCCATCTGCCAGTAGACCAACTGAGAATCAGTCTTCCACCTCTACTTCCCAGGTGGTTCTTCTTCTCCAGGAGAGTCAAGCTAATAGGATGAGGTCAAAGCTCATTCTTCCTGTCCTGAATCATCCTCCCTCAAGCAACCTCCTGGGTTTGTCTTAACCTGAGCCAAAGACCACATTTGTTGCAAAGACCACATTTTCATCTCAATGTAGCCAGGATATTATATTCATTATTAATATTAGGATTTTTAATTCAATAATTATTAATCCAAAGTCATAGGTAAAGAGCTCTTTAAACCCAGGGTAGTCTAACTCTAAAACTAATGTACTCCTGCACCCTCCCTACACACACACACACACACACACACTCTCTCTCTCTCTCTCTCTCTCTCTCTCTCTCTCTAAAAACCTCCATGATGTTTTCAATACCAAAAATATGATTTAAAAAATAAAAAGGCCCCACCTTACATCCCACTTGACATCTAGCCCCCTCATAGCCCAGGCTGAAATATCACATAAGAGTCAGAATTGGATGGTTTTCTGACCTTGAATTTTGAAGTTGGGTTTAGGTGCTATCATCTCTGTCCATCTGCAATAAGGCTTTTAATACATTGTGGTTCATTCTTTGGGGTGCTGTGGCTCAGAGTTACCATCATGGGGCACCTGTGTGAAGGCCAG